TAGTAATTAAGGAACTCAGAATCAATTAGAGCAGAATCGGGACAAGTACTCCCTTAAGTTAAAGGAATTAATTCAAATGGTAAGAACAAGTAATAATTAAGGAAAGAAATCAGTGTATGACTAATAAGGAAAGATTCGAATTCAGTAAGCAATTGGGGCTAAGTTCAGAAAACTCCAATTAAGGAAATAGTTTAGTAAGAATAAAGTACCACAGCAGACAAGGTAGGTAAATCAGTTAATTTGAATAAAAGGGGTCGAAATTGAGGGTTTAAAGGAGGGTCTTTCAATCAAACCCAAAAATAGGAAATCCAGAATCAATCAAGAGGGAGTCACGATTCAGTATTCAGCATATAAATAGAGTAAGAGCAATCAAACATAGCAAACATGCAGGTTAAACAGTATTGATAGAAAGAGTAAGTCTGAACAATCAAGATGAACATAATCACATAGAGTTGGCATAAGTTAGGCTAAAAGCTCAGTAAGAACACATTCGAGGCAAGGTAATCACAGAAACTTAAACAAGAATCGAGTAGTCATGCTAACACACAGAACCAAACAAAGAAAATCTAGAAAATATTAGGGCTTTTAACATAGGCGAGTTGAAAAAGTAGTAAAATCATAGAATCAGTCAAAATATGCAAGAGATAGAAGTTTAAACATAAAGAATCAGTTTAAACAAAGTTTTAGAAGAAGTTCCGAAAACCCTAATTTCAGAAGAAGGTGAAAACACTTTGAAATCGATGATCTTGTAAAAGGGATTCAAGACAGTGTAAAATACTAAAGAAACCCACTCGAATCGTTTTAAAATCGTACAGATCTAGGAGATGCAGGAAGAAATTAGGGTTTCAGAAGAAATCTATTGTAGAAATACAAGAACCTGTCTAGAAACCCAAGGATCGTGCCAAATACAGCGTGATTTCGCTTGAAATCACACTGAAGTAACCAAGAACAGACAATAGAAAACCCTAGATGCAAGTCGGCGTGGCCCAGGGCCCTTTAAGACCTTAGAGAAAGCAAGAATGGCATGAGAGAAGCCATTGGAGGCTTAAGAGACGATGAGAGGTAACCGGAGATGGCCGGAGATGGGAGGTCGGCGATTGAAGATTAGGGTTAAGTTGAGACCGTTTTGAGAGCAGAGAGGATTTTAGGGCGACGGGTGTAGAGAAATGGTTAGGGATGGGGGGGTCATTTGGAATTAAAATGGAAAGTTTTAATGAGGGTCGTTGATCTTTTAGATCAACGGCCAAGATCTGATGGGGTCTTGGGTCGGGTAGGCGAGTTTTAGGGTCTGGGTCGGGTAGTTTGGTTAGAAATGGGGCTGGGGTTAGGTTTAAATTGGGCTGAAATTGAAATGCAAATCTGGCTACATTTTAAATAGCCAATTTTCCCCCGTATAATTTATAATAAATAGTAAATAATTTCTGGAAAATAATTTTGTGTACCAAAATAATTTAAAATAGATATTTAACATTTTAAAAATATAGGAGATCACTTTTACGCATATAAATGTAATTATACATTAATAAGGCTAATATTGCAACTATATGCAATTTAGCTTTAAAAATACAAAATGCAACTATAAAAATGCGCAAAAAATATTTTAATCATATTTTGGAATAAATATAGAAATTAAATGACTAAATCATCATAACAATAATTTGAGGGATAATTATTGAAGATTTTACGAATAAAAGGGAAGGAGATAAATCAATTTAAATCCTTAAAATTATGGGAAAAAATTATAAAAACCTTATGCATGGTTATATGTGCATATATATGCTATTTTGAAAGTATTTATGCAAATCAAAATATATAGGAAAAAATTGAGTATCAACACCTGCAGTATCACCTTTTCTCCCCATCCGCGGTCTCTCCTATTTGCCTCGAGGTGTTCCTCCCCTATTGATGAGACGAACCTCGATGCGAGCTCCCGATGGCCCTGAACATTGGGAGACCTTTCTAACGAAAAGTCCCTCCTCGAGATAAAGCACCTCAAGGTCAGCTCACCGGACGCCGGCGGTGTACCACCAACCAGGCATAAAGCAGTGGCGGAACCTCCGAATAAGGGGAGAGCAAACTCACATATAGAGCAAGCGACGACTGTCTGCCTACTCTAAAGGCCAATTAATTCTAACTTGCCATTGTCGCTTTCAGGGAAGGATACCGGCGGGACTATCTCGGTCACTTCATGACCATGTCATATAAGTGTTGTTGTTGTACAACGTTCGAGGGATCAAACATTCCCATGTCAACCCAGCCTCGAGATAGTGCCCGACCTCCAGGGTCTCCGCTACTATAGCGATGGGTTCTGGGGAGCCATCATTACCAGTCTAGCCTCGAGATGGTGCCCGATCTCGAGGACCTCTATTACTATAGCTATAAGCTCTAAGAAGTTATCTGCATAAACCTAGTCTCGAGATGGTACCCAGTCTCAAGATCTATGCTATTACAAGTACGGGTCATTCACCCGATTCTTTGGCCCCCGAACTACCCAAGTCCGAGTCAGTTCTCACTCGAAGGTTATCAATAAAGCCTCAGGGCTATTTCATCTCTAAGTTCAATTTGAACGCTCTCTCAAATTATTTTTAAGCCCGAAGGCCACTCAAGTTCGAATGCATCCTTGCTCAGGAACTATCTGTAACGCCTTAAGGCTATCTTTATTCCAAGCTCGAGGCCAACTTTCGTTCAGTTGGAGACCATCTGAGTTCGAGAAAACTCTCGCTCAAGAACTATTTGTAAAGACCTAAGGGTTACCTTTACTTTTAGATGATCAAGCAAACTCTCGCTCGAGGACTAGCAGCAAGGCCTAACAAGGCTAAGCCTTATTCCAAAGAGAATCGAGACCCTGCTCTCATTCAACTCGAACTCAGAGGGCCCAGCAACCTAGGTTCGTATCGGATCAATCCAGGGTTGGTCCGAGGAATGACAAAGAATTTCAAAAAACATCACATTAGCCAATCAAGAACCAAAGGAATTCCTATGTCCGGGTCCAGCATTCAGGCCGATCGATGAAATCGCACGCATGGATTTTACTAACATAGGCAAAAAGGGGGATCCAGCACAAGGCGAAGACAGATAGAAAGAAACTTTTGCATTAATAAACGATGATTACAAAAGCCCACGAGGGGTCCTTACATAGAAACAAAGAAGTAAAATACAACAGTTAAAGAGCCTAATCTACTTTCGAGGGTATGTCCTCGGGAGCGACATCTGCGAGAACCGTTTCCTCGAGGATCCCATTTCGGTCTTCAGAGCAATATCTTCGAGAGTCTCCTCCGAAGCAGCTGTAGCCTATCTTACGTCGTAAGCTTGACGGCATCGTGAGAAGTTCGAGGAGATCGATGTCAAAATCGTTTCTTATCATTTCACTCTAAGAAACGCGGGGACTATCTGTTTACGACTAAAATTGGAGAGCCCGATTTCACTATCATTATGTCCTTCCGTAGCTTCTCCTCGAAAGGCCTCGAAGGCCCGGGGGGACAGTTCGGGGTTTCAACCTCGAATGTTCTATTTGTTCAACCTCGGGACAGCACAAGCTGGTGGCTACTATGGATAAGCAGGAAGTTCCCAAGACACGTTACCAAAGCTGACAATATCTGCAAGAATAGTACTAGCCTGCACCAGACTAGTAAATAGTTGTACCAGCTACGTTTCTTTGTAATAAATGCACATGTACTATATTGAGATTCCCTCTCCTATATAAAGGGGATCCTTGTTATTTGCAACACACAACATAATTCATTCAATACAAGGACATTCTTTCTGCTCTCTAACTCAAACATACTCCCTATTTGGCTCTATTACTTACATTTATTGCTTTATTTACATTTATTATATCTCATTAACTGTTCTTCATTTATTGCTCGTTATTGGTCATAAAGAGCCGCAATCACAGCCCTAATAGTTGTTAATACTTCATCGGCTGACCTTATACGAGCATCTGACTCGACACGAGGCCCCGCACGCGCTAGCTCGAGGCCCCGATTCTCAACCGTTTGGTTTGGTTTCTAAAGCTATCTTCAATTTCTTATCTTATTTTCTAACCTCGTCACTTAGCATCTACTGCTTAACAACTAGCATAAAAATAGATCACATATTTTTAGAACCACAAAATCCAATCTAATTGTTATTACCATTTCCAAGGTAAACAGGATATTTTTCAGCTGAGAATCTTTTCTATAGCTGGAAATACAAATTTTGTTTGTTATAATTGAGTTTGTTGAGTTATATTAGGAGTCTATCGCGTTAATTGATTCACTTACCATTTTTAAACAGTTGAAGACCTTTTTTTTCCGCAGATTTCCGTTACTGTATTCACGAATACAGCTCGCGAATACATATGAATACAGTCTAAGTTTAGCTGGACTTCCTTGTTTTCCGCCGAGTTTTGCTACTGTATTCATGAATACAGTAGCTTGAATACATCGAATACACTCTATAACAAGTAAAAACATAGCTATAGGAAGCAATTAAGTAAATGGTAACTATAGCAAGTTAATAGCCACTGAAATAATAAAAAATCCATATTAACAGCAAATAACCATTTTTATTTTATCATGTCGAGTTGGTATTTCCATTTCCTCCCCCCCCCCCCCCCCCCTATTTTATCTATTTCCTCACCACTAAACTCTCCTAAAATAGAAAGAAAAAAGTATTGACTACGTGGGTAGAATTTAGTTAGAGCCTAGATGTATGTTGACATGTACTCACTTGGTTGGTCATACTAAAAGGAACTTTTCACCTGACCTTTTACTACCTTTTACTAGGAGTAATAGATTTGTTCCCCTCATTGGTTTTCTTTAACTCGTTCAAACTTCAATGATGACCTGTGTTCTACGACATTCCATTTCTTTGACTGAATTACCCCATAATATCCATACATCCAGGTCAGCTGATAGCTCATTCGACAAAGGCCAATATGGTCTTTTCTCTATGGTAATGAGACTTTAATGTGGAACAACTGAACTACATATGAGAGAGCTGTTAAGGCAGTAGGCCAGCATATCTAGCCGTTACGAAAAACACAATTGTTCTACTTTTTAAAATGACATGACCGTTGGGTTCTCATCATCTCTTTATCAAAATCACCGAATCTCTAACACTTATTTCTGTTCAGCTCTGGGTTTTCGTCCTTCATTTCTCTTCAAGAAAAAACAGAGGCATCAATGGCTGGAGATCTTGTTTTTAACTCTGAAGAAATGGTGATCGACAAGGGACTAGGGTACCCAAAGGCCTATGCCAAGATCTGTAAAGATCGAAGTTTTGGCCCCTTCAACCGCGGCCCTCCTTTCGCTTTCACTCCCTATTCTCTACCACAGCATGAGGTAACATAAATAATCAATTCAATTCTCTTTATTTCAAGATTAATCAGTCAATTTTCAGTAGGAGGAACTTGGTGTTCCGAATTATATCTACTTCACCAAATCTGATTAAATTACTGTATGGAGTACTTAATCTGGCTTGTTCGGTTTCGCCATAAAGAGTCGATTAATCTGTTCCCTTAGAATCTCTTTTTTCCCACAATTTTGTGTTGAATTTTCGTTTTATATATGGTTTCTAGCTTCTAATTGCAAGTTAAATTCGCCTTCTTCATCCACTATAAAGCTAAAGTGACCTAATAGGTAGTATCTTTATTTCCCTAAGTGGATATCACGTTTGGTATTTAAATTTGATGGTTTTAACTTCTCGCAATTAAACTCAATGAACATTTACAATTACGGTTCGAATTTTAATATTTGTTAATATTTTAGTAACTTTGGTACATAGATATCTATGATTTGTGCAAATATAGTTCAGTTGAACTCGGTGGATTATACAGTGCATCCTCCTCATAGTTGAGTTAAACCTTGTGAATGTTTTTCAATTTCTAACTCCAATTTTAATCAGTGATTTTCAAGTAGAAACAGCCAGTGTTCTAAAAATCTCTTACCTGATCTTGGAAAACAAGTGTCCCAGATTATAGTGCTGAATAAGGTGTATTAGTAATTTTTTTTACCGAGATTAGTAATGTATGGGTTAGTAATGCAAGCATTAGTTTGGGGAGATTATTTTTTATCCATCGTTTGGTGTGGTGTATTAAAAATTAAAATGCATTGCAGAGTTTTTAAGAAAATTAGTTGTTTATAAAAATGTCCTTCATATTCTTTAGATTTAAAAGGGACTTTACGGACAATTTTGTCTTTAACCGTGCTAATGCATGCATTAATAGCCTTGGTATTGCTAATACCATGTTTGCTATGTATTAGTTATACATAGGATAATACCAAATAGGTTGTATAACTAACATTTGCATTAGTAATACGTAGTTTGAAAAAGTGTACCAAACAAAGGATTGGTAATACCAAAAGCTAATGCATGCATTATTTTCTCTAATGCATCTACCAAACGACCCCTGAATCTTAGAAAAGATAATATTTGTACTTAATTTTCTGGAGGAATTATGTGCTGCCTCAAATTTTGATCATTGTTATATTGAACGGTAATAGGTTTTGAGAGCCAAGGAATTGGATGACATGTTCCCGATCATTGATCCGAATGCACAACCCAGTACAAAGCCGAAGATTTTCCTGTCTCTTTTGTGGAAGCAACTCAACCACCTCGGGTAAAAACGGATTGTTGATGCAGTTCAACTTATCCAATATGAATAATTAGGAAATGCTTAATAAGGGGCTTCTCATTCTTGATTATAATTTTTAAACTCCAGGAATGCAGGGTTTGATCCTGAAGTATTTCGAGTAGACTCATATGGCAATGTTCTGTATTATCATGCTGATTCAGCTTCACCTCTAGCATGGGAAATTGATCACTGGTTTCCTTGCTCCAGTAATTACTCATCATCTTTCTTCATCCTTCTGCTTTTCTGCGCAAAGTTTAACTTATGTACATCGAAACTTTTACATTATCAGGTCACCTTTATTTGTTGTAAAAGCTTACACCATCTGTGTATATAAGTTAAACTCTTCTGCATTAGTAATTGTTTTCTGCATTTTAGAGTTTTGAACTTGTGACATTCGGTGAAATTGCAGGAGGAGGACTAACTGTTCCAAGCAATCTGAGGATAATGCAGTGGCAAGCATGTAAGAAAAAGAATCATAAGCTGGAATTTCTTATACCCTGGTGGGATCTGCAAGTTGGTATATCCATAAACCAGTTCCTGTCCATCTTTGCTATATCAAATTCAGATTTCAGGTTGGTTGCTGTATGTTTGTTGAATGCTTTTCCAGTTTTAAAGTGATATTGTGCAACTGCTAGATGCTGACTATCACTGTTTTCAGGCGTAGAGCATTTTCATGGTTGTTTTCTGAAGGCGAAAATGAAGAATTGAATGCCTCACAAACTGTTGATTCGCATGTTTTTCCTCCTCATTTTGTTGAATCGCAAGAAAAGATTGGCCTAGCTCCAGCTGCTGTTGTTCTAAGTCGAAGGGAGTCTTTTGATTCTTCCTCTACTCTGAAATCCCTGGATATAAATAGAAGACCAAGATCAAACACTCCTATTGTAGGTCAGTCTCCAAATATCAAACACCATGATTGTTTCTTGGTTTTAATGTCTTGTAAAAATATACAGGTGATACTACTCTTTATTTTGAATGACTGAGAAATCCCCGAGGGTCATCCCCCCCCCCCCCCCTTCTCCACTTAATTACCAAGCTTTTGTTTGCGGCAGAATTTCAAACTCGTAACATGCACCTAACCAGTGCATCACTCTTACTGCTAGACCAATGCCTTGGGGGAACTACTCTCTGTTTCTTCGGTTTTGCTTTTTAAAGTTTTTCTTTTGTGACAGCTTACAAAAGATCAAAGGCGGATTTGAAAGAAAATGAAGATCCAGGCATGGTGACCAATCCATACCAGGCTATTGTAATGGCTAGAGATTCTTTAAGGAACAGAGAAGAGACTTCAAAAATGCAGGCAGAAATACAGAAATTAGATGATGAAGTGGGTGAATTAAAACAGAAGACTGAGGAGGAGAAAGCAGCCGTAGAAGAATTGGAGCTAGTCCTAATAAAGAAAAGGAGGAGAGCAGAGAAATGTCGACGACTAGCTGAGGCACAATCTTCTTATAGAGCTATGCTAGAGAAGATGATTCGAGATGCCATGCACCAGTAAGATCACTGAAAAACATGTCCACTAGAAAAAGAAAAATTCACGAGTATTATAGGGATAATGATATTCTTTGGCCGCCCAAAAAATAATAGCCGGAAAATGTATATGCTTTATATATTAAGAATTAATATACATATAATTTTTGATTATATGCTCTTACTCTGTTGCTTTGTGTTACTTGTAGGAGTGTTGTGTACAAAGAACAAGTGAGGTTGAACCAGGCAGCAGCTAATGCTCTTATGGCAAGACTTGAAGCTCAAAGAGCAATTTGTGATTCTGCAGAGAGAGAGCTACACAAGAGATTCATATATAGAGATGAACTCGAGCAACAGATAAGACCTGAGTGGGACCAAACAAGAAAAAGATCAAGAATGGATGAATTTCCAGATGAAGAGGGAGATGAGAAGACTCTTCTCTGTCTTCCTGGCAGCAGCTCAAGGGCAGAATTAGAGAAAGATGATCAGAGAGTTCTATGCTTGCCAGGGATTAAGTCCAATGACAGTATGCATAAGGAACTAAGAGTATTTTTGGACGAGGAGCAGAAAGCATACGAGGCAAGACTATCTCTAAATGGAGGACAAGAGAAAGAAATACAAAGCGACAATGCTATTGTGCAGGCAAAGGATGAGGATCCAACAGAGGAGAAGATTCAAAACATAGAAATACAAGAAGGGATAACATACAAAGCCGGGTTTCCCACTTTTCATGAAGCTGAAAGAGAGGAGGAGGACGACGAGAGCAGAAAGCAACGTGGGAAAGGAAATGTTGAAAAATGGCTTCAGTTGCTTTTGGATAACTCCCAAGAACCTACCAATTTTGGTATTCAGAATGCTGATGAGGAGAACAATAATGGTAACAGAACTCTTAATCCAGGAGAAGATGAAACTAATGAGATTGATGGCACGATAAGAAAGCAGAATATCAAATACCCACAGAACGAGATGAAGAAATCAAGATCAGAGGAGTCAGAAATAGCTGAGGATGTGAAACAGACGCAGAAAGCTGCCAAACAGCAAGAAGAAACAAAAAGAGAGGAAGTTGTTGAAATGGCAGCCAGGAAATCATCATTTTCAAAAAGAGAAATTGGGAAAAAAGAAGAAAGAAATGAGCTTAAAGGTCAAAAAACACCATCCAGGAATCCTCCACCCTACAAATTAATTCCAGAAAGAAGGAGAGCCAGTGATGTAGGTTCTGCTTCTAAGGGAGTAGTAGGGAGATCTAGCAGCTGTGAAAGAACTGAAAGGAAGAGCGAAAAGGAAAAGGAAAGGGAACTCTTGAGGTCTGACAGTGCCAGGTTGTTTAGGCGTATCCCGTCTTCCCCATCTCTCCTCTTGAGTGGCATGAAAAAGAGAGTGGATTGCATAAGGAAGAAGCCCTCAGTTGTTGGTGATGATAGCGATGAAGGTCGGGTAGGAGGTAACGGCTTCATAAGATCATCCATCAAAACAATCAAGAGAGCAGTGAAGATGTAGGCCCTGATACATAGAACTAAGTTCATATAGTTTGGTTGTTATTGCTAGTGAGTGTTGGCTACCAAAATGAGTGTGTGAATGGTGCGCGCTTTATTTCTTTGTATAATAGTGTACTATTATTCTTTTTGAAGGATTTGTAATAACAGCTTGTTGTTTGACGTAAAGATCTCTTTAAAATGGCTATCCCTTTGGTGTTTGAAAAGGATAACATGTCCGCTTATGTTTTAGTAAGACAAAATTAGATCGTGCAGAAAAATAAGAGGAAAGGTTTCTGGCACAATTATTTCCGTCAACAATTTTGAAAAGACGAGTAGTTTTGTTTGTTTTCATGACCCTCCATGTTCATGCAGTTCTACAAGCAGCAACATACACCAAGATATACAAGTTTCTATATCCAATTCGCTAAAGCAACAAAGGACTAGCGTCTATCTTCAAGTATGATAGAAAGGTATGTGCTATATACAGTGCATCAGGCATCTCTATGTTGAGTATCACCAAATTGTCTTTTGAGATTGCAAACATTTCACAATGTTCTAGCTTTCAAGATCATTACCACAGGGAAATAAACATTCCTGCAGAAGGGCAGTTGATGTTATCTGCGGAAGCAACAGACGTGCAGTGCCAGACTGTGGATGTGATTTTGCAGTCTCTAGCCAGGAGCTAATTCAGCTTCAATTCTATGTAACCTGGCGCTGCCCGTTCACAAGCAAAAGATTCTATTTTGCTAACTGTGAATTGATTCTCTCCTGTTATGAATTTCAAGTTTCTCCCAAATAATTTTCATCCCCACATGTGCATCTTCCATCCTTAAAATGGTGGAAATGCTCAGTATCTCTAACTGAAATCTCCCTCCGGACAACCTCAGAGATAAACTTGATTGTGTCATGACAGCTCTTGCACATATAGAGATTCTTTGTGACCCAAATTGGTGTCCCTGGAGCAGTATTTATAAGCCCAAATGCAATAGCCAGTCTCTCGCTGTGTCCACAAAAGATCTCGGCTTTTGAATCTTCAACCTCACTTACTATATATCTTTCTGATTCACTACGACGTGCTGTTTTCATTTTTTCATAAAATCCTTCCAAAACTGCATTGATTTCCTTAATTTGGGGGTGGAAATTATCACCACTAAGGAATGCATGTACATTTCCCTTTACTTCTATCCAGCTGCAACCAGGATCAACAGTTAGTCCTCTTTCTATCATAATCTTCCTTAACGTAGCAACTTCATCCCATCTGCCACTGTCGGAATAGAAGTTACATAGGAGAACATAATACCCAACACCTCTCTCATCTATTTCAAGAATATGTCTAGCAGCTAGTTCTCCAAGTTCAACCTGCCTGTGGATCCTACACGCATTCAATAAAGCCCCCCAGATAGCAGAATCAGGTTTCATAGGCAATGTTAGAATAAAATCATAAGCATCCTCCACTAGACCTGCACGGCCTAGCAGATCAACCACACAAGCATAATGCTTCAGATTCGGAGCAATGCAATATTTACTCTCCATGCTATTTAAATAGTCAAGGCCTTCATTCACCAACCCAGACCTACTACAAGCACGTAACAGAGAAATGAAAGTAATCTCGTCAGGCTTTACTTTTGAAGTTAACATTCCATCGAAAAGCTCAACCGCCAGTGCACCTTGCCCTCGCTGAGCATAGCCAGTCAGCAAAATATTCCAAGCCGTAACATCGTTTTTCTGCATATTAAACAGATTCAGTGCGGGGCCAATCCTTCCACACCTCACATAGAAGTCAAGGAGTGCATTGGGTAAAAAACCATGAAATGCCATTCCGTTCCTCAATACATATGCATGTATTTCCTTACCACACATCAGTGCACCGATTCTAGAACATGCAGAGAGGACAGACACTAAGGTAACAGAATTGGGATCCTGATAGCGTTTCATCTGACCAAACAAAATCAAAGCTTCCAAACTGCGATTATTAATCCGTAGACCAAGAATGATAGAAGTCCAAGATATGACGTTTTTATCCGGTATCCTGTGAAAAATTTCCAATGCCTTGTCAATACAGTTGCACTTCGAATAAAAGTCGATCAGAGTGTTTGAAACAATCACGTATGCTGTAAGTCCTCTCCTTTCGGCTAGTTGATGAAGCTTAACACCCATTTCTAGAAGGCCCAATGAAGTACATGCAGATAGAACAGAAGCAATAGTAATCTCATCCGGCATGACACCTTCTAGCTCCATCATTTTGTATGTCTCCACAGCCTTCTCAGGAAACCCATTACTCTCATAACCCGAGATCATTGCAGTCCATGAAACTACATCCTTACATTGTATCCTATCAAAGATCTTCTCCGCTTCCTCCCAATTCCCAATAGCTGAATAAAGTTGAATGAGAGAGTTGTGTACTGAAACATCACTATAAAAATCCATTCTTGACACGTACCCATGAAGCGCCTTCCCTAAACTTTCATCCCCAAGAGCCTCACAAGCTGAAACCACACTTGTCATGGTCATCAAATCCGGAAAAAATCCAAATTCCCTCATCGACGAAAACAACTTCAACCCTTCCAAAAATTCATCATTCTCAAAGTAACCCGAAATCATAGCATTCCAGGAAATTCTATCTCTCCTAGGCATTCCATCAAACACCATCCTTGCATTAAACACGTCACCACATTTCACATACATGGTAATCAAAGCATTAACCACATCAATTTCCGACTCATACCCAAATCTAAAAACATGAGCATGTATCTCCCTACCCATTTTCCGATCAGGCAAGCCTCCACAAGTCCTCAAAACACAAGGAAAAGTATACACATCAGGTCTAAATCCAACCCACAACATCCTTTGATACAAATCCAACGCCTCATCAAAGTACCCGTTTTTCGCATACCCCCCAATCAAAACATTCCAAGAGAAAACATCTCTTTCCTCCATTTTCCCAAACACATACCAAGCATCACCCAAATTCCCCAGCCTAACAAACATACTTAGCAATGCATTTCCCAGCCTCAAGCTCAACTGGGACATACAGCTAAGTATGCATGAAAACACTTCACATGCTTCATTAGATGCCCTTTTGAATTCACAAAGCCTAGCTAAAGAAACAAATGTTTCTTCTTCGATAGTCCCATGAAGTTCTTTTACTGATTTTAAGAATATTATGGCTTGTTCTAGAAGGTTCTGGGAGCATAATTGGATAAGGTGGGAATTGGGGTCAGTGGTAGGAGTTGAGGTGGAGGAGGAGCTGAGGAGGGGATTTTGGTGTGTTTTCTTAAGAGAAAAAAGGTGGGATTTTTGGAAGATATGGGAGAAGTTTAGAGATTTAGAAGAATGGAGTTTGGAGAATGGAGGGTTTGGAGGGTCTAAGGAAGGGAGGGATGTAGTTGGGGTTTTAGCAGAGACTGCCATATTGGGAGGTGTAACGAAGGAACATGTCGGATATTTTTATCAGGCGGGGTTTAAGGAGATGGTTTAAACGGCTATCAAACGCCAATAGCAGTTTAGCCGATAAGAGATACTTCGAAACTCCCTATTCGGCGTCGTAAAGAGTACTTATTTTATATTTTGGCTAACCATTTTTCTGTGGTGTCGTGATATAGATTTTACTAACTCATAGAAATATAAATTATCTCCTCTTCTTCTTCTTTTAATTAAATCAATTCGACAAGCATATTTATTTTAACATGTGGAAATTGGAATTAGTTTCTTGCTATTGGAAAATGAATATTCTAGATCGAGCAATTTGGGGAAATTTGATTAGGGTTTTCAACAGAGAGAAGATACTTTTATTTGAGAAAATCGAAATCAGAGAAAAATGTCTGATGGGTCCTTCTAGATTCAGCACTGTATATATATATAGTGGGCCTCGGTCGGTTGCCCAATACTATGAAATCCGCCTCCTAACTAATACACTAACTAAAACAAGCAGAAACAATGTTTACAAAGATAGCCAAAATATATACAATGATCCTTATAGCCACTCAGTTTGTGTTTGGGACTAAAAGCTAAATACTTCATCACGGCAACACTCCCCTCAAGTTGGAGTGGCAAACCACCTGCTACTTGGATAAGAATGGTAATATTGCCAGGCAAAGGTTTGGGGAGTAGATTAGCCAAATGCTTGGTGGTAGAAACTTGAAATAATTGAATCAACCCATCATCAAGTTTGGTCCTAATGAAGTGGCAATCAACCTCAATATATTTGGTCTGATCATGGAAGACAAGATTCCTGGCTATATGTAGGGCGGCCTGATTATCACAAAAGACATAAAAATGAAGCATAACAGGGAACAACAAATTCATTCAAGAGCTTGGAAAACCAAGTCAACTCAGCAATCACCTTGCTCAAAGCCCTGTATTCAGCCTCAACAGAAGATAGTGAAACAACATATTGCTTTTTGGACTTCCAACTAATGAGGCTACCACCCAAAAAATACATAATCCAGTGACAGACTTCCCAGTGTCAGGGCAAGCAGCTCAGTAACTGTCCAATGATAAAGAAGTCAAGAGAATCAGAATAATACAAACCCAGATCCATAGTGCCCTTGAAATATCTCAGAACATGGAGAGCAGCAGACATATAAGGGACCCTAGGAGATTTCAGAAATTGACTCAAGTGCTGAACAACAAAACGAATATCAGGTCTAGTATGGGTGAGAAAGAGCAGCTCGCCCACTAGACTTCTATAGGACTCAGGTGTAGGCAGCAAATCACCAGAATCAATATGCAATTTAGTGTGCAACTCCGAAGGACAGACCACAAGAGTAACAAAAGTGCAGCCAAACTGCTGAAGCAAATCTGAGACAAATTTCTTTTGATTGAGAACAGCCCCACCAAAAACAGGACACACCTCAATGCCTAGGAAATAGTGTAAAGAGCCCAGATCTTTAATCTTAAACTGAGAGTCCAAGAACTGCTTTAGAGAAGAAATTTCAACAGTATCATCCCCAATAATGATGATATTATCAACATAGACAACCAAAAGGACCATTTCATGATTTTGTGTTTAGTCATTGAGGAAATGAGTATAACCCCTAGAATACAAAGCATGAGATAGCTTGGCATACCATTGCCTAGAATCCTGCCTAAGACCATAGAGGGACTTCTTCAGTTTGCAAGCAAGGGGCACAGAAGTAGAAGGAGTAGACGCAGACAACCCTTGGGGTAATTTCTTATAAGCCTCCTCATCTAGATCTCCATAGAGGAAAGCATTGTTGACATCTAATTGAGAAGGCGACCAATGTTCCTTAACAACCACAACCACTAAACACTTGACATTAGACATTTTAACTACATGGGAGAAGGTTTCAGTAAAATCAACACCTTCAACCTGAGTATCACCCCTTATGACAAGCCTAACTTTGTATCTCTCAACAATGCTATCAGCCTTATATTTGATCTTATACATCCATTTACACCCTATAAGCTTCTTCCTAGTAGGTAGAGGAACAACATCCCAAGTCTGATTGGAGTCAAATGCTCCAAATTCCTTTCTCATGCCATCCTGCCATGCTGGAACTAAAGCAGCCTGAGATAGGGGTGGGCATTCGGTATTTTGATTCGGTATTTAAGAACTTCAGTTTGATATTTCGATATTCAGTTTATCAATTATGTATATCAAATACCGTGCCGAAGTAATTCGGTACGGTTCGATATTTCTTATTTTAGTTCGGTACAGTTTCGATTTGATACATATTCACGTGTCACGTACTGCTAAGTGCTAAGAGCCTTAGCAAGCAGAAAGAAAATTACACTATTACAGTGCATTCCTAAAGATGAAAGGAAAATCTTTCCGATATGAATCAAATCCAGAGGCATCAGCACCATTAAAATAAAAAATGGACTGCAAAATGTTACTGAAAACTCTTGAGCAGCGAGGTACTTGAAAGGGAAAAAAAGTAAAGGACTTGTCACAACAGGCTAAGATGAAGGCCCTCGTATGTCACAACAAGCTAAGATGAAGACCACGTCCAAGTTGAATAAATCAACAAATTTCCATAGAGCCAGATGCACATGATTATGTGCAAATAAGGAACTAAGAAACTGGAAACATTAGCTACTAGTAGTAACGAGCAACAATCGAGCAGCAGAATTTCTAATTCAAGTTTACACTTTACACAAATGCAACAAAATCACAGATGCATCATGCAACAGCCACTAACGAGTAGCAGCAGAATTAAACACAATGCAACAAAAACATAGAGGGCATAAACCTGCCAAATAGAAGTCAAGTTTACACTAATTACAACTAAAGTGTCACAGGCTCACAAGTCACAACAGCAACATTATGCAAACCTACTACCATTCTGCCAAACATAAAGTTGTAAGTGTAACTAACAAGCAGCAACAACATCAACATAAGAACACTGGCCCATAACGCCATAAGTCTAAGTGTCTAATACATTAAGCTTAAATAAGTCTCAAAAATCGAAATAACATAAATTGTCTCGAATCAACTTAGTCTTAAATACAGATTTCTGGAAGACGCTTTAGACAACCCCTAATATGCTTCCTTAAACAATATGTGCTATCCTTCTTCGGATGAACATTATAGACTCGACCACAATGTTTGCACTATACTTTGCAAACTTCTCCGTTATCTTCTACCACCTCAAAGTGTTCCCAAACATGAGAGTGTACTTTAGGAGAGCGGGGCATGATTGAACTTGAACCTAAAAAAGATAAAATCTTAAGTTAGAATAATATTTTTTGATGGTAAAAGAACAAAACTACAAAAGTATGTCGCCAAACAAATAGAGTATTAAACTTACCACTCAAGTTGCAACTATATATCAACAAATAAACAAGTGTAATATATTATTTTGAACTAATACACACAAAATATTAAATCTTACCAAGCTCGAGTTCCTCAAAATGCTCCCAGTCTTCTTCTTCTCTTCTCTAAGCCAATCTTGAACACAAACAAGAGCTTGCACGCATTTAGGAGTCAATGCACTCCTAAATGAATTAAGAACTGGTGCTAAACGCACATTTCGATGCCACACTAGAAATTGGAATGGCCAACACATCACGAGCCAACTCTGAAAGAATAGGAAATCTAGGAGCATGTGTTTTCCACCAACTTAAGATATCAAATTCCTCGCTAAAAGGCTCTTGTTCTTCACCAATGTATTTATCCAACTCCGATTTAGCACCCTCACTTCCATTTTCTTCCTTTTGTTTCTTCAAGTGAAGCTTCGTCCTTATTAATGATGCAATTATAACATTCCCGCTAGATGTATTAGATGTATTAGATGAAGTAGATCTAGATGGAGATTGAGGACAAGAACATGTTGAATACTTTTTTAGATACTCTCCAAACAAAGAATTCATATAAGCACACACCTTAGCATTTATTTTCTTCCCTTTATCCTCCCCAAAAAGTTCTTCAAGTGAAAGGCTAACATATTCAAACTTGTTACGTGGATCCAAGACGGAAGCAATAAAAATCATTTTATTCATCTTTTCAGGCTCATCCCAATACTTCTTGAACTTTTCTTGCATCTGCTCAGTCATTTTTCTCAAATGTTCATCCTCACTAATTAAGCACATTTTCAAATGACAATAAATTGCAGAATACATCCTCAAAATGAGAATTACAAGTGACATAACGTGAACCTGAAACTTTTTTTGGTGAGCTCGTGAAATCTTGCAAGAAACTCTATCACATTCCTTACATTCACCCAATCAATAGATTCAAGAGTACCTGCACTACTACCATCTTCACAAAGATGAGAACAGAGATAAGCAGAAAATTCATCATCAAAAAGATGAAACTTGTCAAAGGCCTTTTCAAAGTTTTGTATCGTATCCAACATTAAATAGGTAGAATTCCACCTAGTAGGAACATCCAAATATAATATTTTAATACATTCTACCTTTATAAGTGAACAACACTTTTAAACTTTAAGGTCCTTGCAGGCGACGATCTCACATACCTCACAGTATTTCTAACACGTGTGACAGAAGCAACAATTTCTTTCAAACCATCTTGTGCAATTAGATTAAGTATATGAGCCATACATCTCACATGAAGATGCTTACCACCCATCATATTAGTTTTCTACATATCTAACTTTTTAGACAATTCTTTGACTATGACATTATTTAAAGAAGCATTGTCCACGGTAACAGTGAACACCTTGCCTAATTTTCATTCAAGCAAACAATTATCAATAGCTTTAGCCATCTCTTCACCCTTTTGACTAGTGATAGGGCAAAAATTTAGTATTCTTTTATGCAACTTCCAATCTCTATTAATGAAGTGGGCTGTCAAATACATAAAATTTATTCTTTGCAATGAAGTCCATGTGTCTGTTGTGAGGCAAATTTTTGGTTGTGCTTCTCTAAAAGACCTTCTTAGATTTTGCTTCAATTCACCGTAAACTTCATAACAATCCCTTGTTATTGTTCTACGAGAAGGAAGTCGAAATAGTGGTTGAGTTATTCTCATAAACTTCATAAAGCCTTCCTTTTCTACAAAGCTAAATGGTAGTTTATTAATAACTATCATCTCAATTAAAGCCCTCCTAACCACTTCCTGATCAAATTTCCAAAGCGA